AGCGGCCATGAGTGTGAATGTTAGAGGTGTTGTGAAGGTAGACTTGGCTTGTTTGGACAACTGATTGGATGTGAGGAAGAGGGAAAAGTCAAAGATGACTCCAAGATTGGGAAACTGAGTGAAGGGAGGCATCATGGGGTCCTTTACAGAAACAGAGAAGTGTGGGGGAGAGATATATTCTGGGAGACACATAATGAATTCTGTTTTGTATACGTTGAGTTAGTCAAGTCAAGTAAACAAGCATTTACTAAACTCTTACTACGTGCCAGGAACTGTGTTAAGTGCCGGGAATAGAAATACAAGCAAAAAGAAAGGTAGTCTCTGCCCTCACAGAGCTTACAAGAAAACAGAAAAAGAAGGAGCAGGAAAGAGATGAAGGTACTCTATATGGGGGTACCGGAGAGAAAGTCCATGAGAGTAAGGAGTACAGCCTGGAGAGGAATGAAGACACTGCTGGCTTGGGCTTTCTCCTTCAAATGGAGGTTCTGGGAAGGACAAGCCAGTCAGGTGGAGAGGCTGCAGGGCTATTTGAGATGTCTATAGGACATAAAGGTGGAGATAGCCAGCAGGCAATTGGCCATGGGGGACTAGGGTTGTTCAGGAGAGAGATTAGGACTGTGTCTGTCTGACTATCTATCTATCTATCTATCTATCTATCTATCTATCTATCTATCTATATCTAACTATCCATCTATCTCTATCTAACTCTATTTCTATATATATGAGAATCATTTCTATAGAAATGATCATTGACTCATGGGAGCTGATGAAATCAACAAGAGAGAGCATATAGAGAGAAAAGAGCTTCCTGGACAGAGCATTGGGGGATGCCCACACTTGGGAACAAGAGAGTGACCAGCTAAGGGGATGGTCAGAAAGATAGGGGTTGAACCAAGAAAGATTAGTGCTGGGACCTTTAAAATCATCTAATACAATTCCCTCATTTCTAGTACTGAGGCTAAGAGATGGAGATCAAGAGGCTTCCTGTCCTGCAGGGAGTAGATTGCAGAGCTGAAATTCAAACTCTAGTCATCAGAATCCATATCGTGCTCTTCCCACCATACCACACTACCTCATCTCAGCCCTGTCCTGAGATAGGGGGGAAGGGAGGAAATAGGCACACACACACACACACACACACACACACACACACACAGAGCCTACAATGTGCCAGGCATTGTGCTAAGCACCTTTTATAATTTTGTTCCTCACAATAATGCTGGGAGGTAGGGGCTAGTATTATTCTTATTTACAGTTGAGGAAACTGAGGCAAACAGAGATTAAGTGACTTGGCCAGAGTCACACAGATAATAAGTGTATTGAGGCTAGGTTTGAACACAGGTCTTCCTGACTAGACCCCTGTGCTCTGTGCACTGTGGCGCCACTAGCTGCCTCTGGTGGATGGAGATCCCCAGCATGTTCAAGATTCTAGCCAGCTGTGGAAATAACCAGTCTATTCAGTTCAACAAGAGCCTAGGTTCCAGGCATTGTTCCAGGTGCAGGGAAATGAAACCAGCCCTGACCTCGAGAAGTTTGCATTTTAATGGATAGAAACATGTACACAAGTCAGTAAACATAAAAAGTCCGCAATGTAAATAAACATACAGCAATTTCAGGCAGAGGAAAAGCAGCAACAGTTTGGGGTCAGCAGCAAAGGCTCTGAGCAGGAAATAGCACTTGAGCTGAGCCTTGAAAGGAGACGATGCAAAAAAGTTGCTTTTTTTTTGGGAGGAGATGGAATGTTGGGTATGGGGAAGATGGAGTGGGACAGTTTGGCTGGAACCAAAGGAACATGAGGTGGGATAATACAAAATTAGTCTAGAAAAACAGGTTCGCACTGTATTGGGAAGAATTTTAAATGACAAAAGCATTCATATTTTTATCCTGGTGGCACTAGAGAGCCACTGAGACTTCTTTTATTTTATATGCAATAGCAATGTTTACTGAAGACTTATGAACCCCATAACCTTCTTATCACCAACCTAAATACAACAAAACTTTGTGTACTCTTGGAGCAAACATTGGCATTAAATAGACTGTATCATTGTAAGGAGAAGAGACATACAGGCTGTGAGAGTGACAAAGGAGGTGCACACCACAGAGTGCTGGACCCACCAGAGACTTATTCACTCCAAGCTAAACATTCACGTTCAATAAAAGCGGCAGCCACAAGGCAAGGTAGCTACCAGACTTAGTGTCGACAGCCTAGAGTGATTCTCCATGGGACAACAGTTTGTGGATAACTTGGAGCATTCCAGCAGGAAAGAAGTAAGGAGCTTTCAGAGATTTGACGTACAGCACCACATTTACTCATCTGGGAAAGAACATTTGTAAACAACCAAACTGGTCTGATGAAAATGATGAGGAAATTCAAAACCTAATAAATAAATAGAGACCCCTACCAACAGATTAGTTTGCCCATATCTAGGAAGACAGCCTTTAACTCCACCAGAAGTGAAATACCAGCAAAGCCTAGAGAGATGCAGGATTCTTGGCTCAGTAAGCAGGTAGATGAAATTCAGTCTTATGCTGATAGTAACAATGCAAAGAACTTGTATGAGGCCCTGAAGGCTACTTATGGGCCAAAGACCCATGGTGCACCTCAACTACTCAGTGCTGATAGAGCCACATTGATTAGTGAAAATTACAAGATGCTAGAGAGATGGGCTGGACACTTTGATAGCATTCACAACAGACCATTCTCAACCACTGCTGAAGCCACTGACCATTTTCCTTGGGTTGTACTCAATCCCTCTATGGCCATCCCCCAACTGGCCACTGAAACTTCTTGAGGAAGGCAATGACATGGTTAGATATTTGCTTCAGGCATATCAGTTTGGCTTCTGTGTGGAAGAATTAAAGAGAAGGAAGATTTGGGGGGAGCAGGGAGTACCAATAATAAGGATGAGAAGTGACAAGGGCCTGAAGTAGGAGGATGGTCATGTGAAGGCTATGGATGTAAGAGATGTTACGGAGGAAGAGTTGGTGATTGATCAATTGCCTATGGAGGACAAGAGAGTGAAGAGTCAATGATGACTCCTAGGTACTGATCTTGGGTGCCTGGATGGACAGTGGTGCCCATGACAGAAACAGGAGAGTGAGGAAGTAAGGGAGGTTGGAATGTGTGTGTGTGTGTGTGTGTGTGTGTGTGTGTGTGTGTGTGTGTGTGTGTGAAATGGCACAGGAGATGAGTTCCATTTTGGACTGGTTGTGTTTGAGATACCTGTAGTACATCTAGGTAATGTTGAACAGGGAATTGATGGCATGTGAATGGAGCTCAGGAGAGAGATGAGGGCTGGATATATAGACTTGGGAGTTATATAGAGTGCTGATGTTTTGTATGACTGCACATGTATAGTCTATGTCAAATTGCTTGCCTTCTCAATGAGGGGGAGGGGAGGGAGGGAGAGAGAGAATTTTGAACTCAAATTTTTTTAAAATGAATGTTAAAATGGTTTTATGTGTAATTGAAAAAAATATTAGAGAAAGCTAATAATCAAATCCATGGGAGCAGATGAGTTTACCAAGAGAGCATGTACAGCGAGAAGAAGGTGCAGTTGTGCCAGTGGGAGGAAGTATGGTATGGTGGAAATAGTGCTGGTTTTTAAGCCAGAGAACTTGGGTTCCAATCCTGGCTATCATTCACTCCCCGTGTGACCTTGGGTGACTTAGCTACCCTCTCCGGTGCCTTAGTTTTTACATCTGTAAAATGAGGGAGTTGGATCAGAAAACCTCTGAGGTCATTTCCAGCTCATGTCTTTGGTCCCACCATTAATGAAAGAGATGGCATCAGAACCAGGACAGGCTATGAAGTGATGCATCCTTGACCAGGGATAAGGAGATTAGGGCATAAAACCCTGCTCTGTGTGACCCTAGGCCAGTCTGAGCCTCAGTTTCCCCATACATAAAATGGACATGATGATACATGCCCTGCCTTCCCTAAGGTATTGCTTTATAAACTGTGAAGCTACCTCTTTGCAGGGGTGGGGGACTATGGGTGTGGAATACTGCCTATGCTGTATGATGATGTATTGATTAGTTTTGTTGAATTGTTTTTGTTCTATTCTCTTTCTTTTAAAAAATCTGTGTTCCAAAATATGGCTCACTACATGGGGGAGGAGGGAGGGATATATTCAGAAATGAAAGTGATAGAAAAATGTGGATAGAAGGATAGCCACCAGACCTGTGAATTCATTGTTCTGAGAAACTCCCTTTAGCAATCTAGGACCACAGCTGCCTAGAGCATGAAGGGGCTGAGTGATTTGTCCTGACATAACTAGCTTGTGTCATATGGGACTTGAACACAGGTCTTTCTAACTTCGGGCCGGCTTATTACACTGTACTGCTTCTCCTAAAAACAAGATATCAATATAATTTTTTAAAAATAAAATTTAAATTAAATTAAAATCAAATAAGCTGGGTTTTATTGTTGTTTGCATGAGCTGCTATTATTACTAATGACCTAACAATAGGAAATCATGCAGAGTCCCTTTGGGAGCCTAGAATGGTGTTGATAGGGGTGGGAGGGGAGATGCTCTGTGCTGTGTCTGGAGGCTCCCGAGCTGGGGGATAGGACTATTTTAAAGTTAAAAGTCCCTTCCCCCTCCCCCTGGAGGACTGGGAAGCTCAGGCAGAGGGGGAGAAGAGGCCAAGTCAGGCCAGGCTGGCTAGGCCCAAAGGGTGAAGCTTAATCCTCCTTAGGAGAGGAGGAGGAGTAGGCACCCTGGGGAAATAAGAAGCTAGACTAGCGTGTCCCTGCTTGTCACAGCGACTGCCACAACAACCTTCCTGCAATTGTTCCTGGAGGGGCCTGGTCTGTCTGTTGGTAAGCCCTAGTCCAAGCCAGCAGGAGAGGTGGTTGTCAGGATCACCCTGGGGGACTCCCTCCCGTTGTCAGGTAAACAACACGGCACTAGGGTGGGGTGGGGTGAGGGGAGGGAGGGAGGCTGCAAGATCCACAGCCCCAAGTGGCCCTCCTCACCTCCCTCTTATTACCTACAGTCTGCTCTGGCCCTGGCCCTTGGCTCCCTAGCTCTGACTTTTCACAGGCACCTTCGGCCCTCCAGCGAATCTCAACCTTGCCCAGGAACCTCGGGACCAGGAGGAAGGACCCTCCTCAGATAGCCTGGAACTTCGTGGCACTGTCCATGGAGAGGGAGAGCCAACCAGTGATGAAAAGCTCCCGGATGTGGGCCCTTCAGCCCTGGAAGGTGATAGCAAACAGCCCGAGAGGAGGGATTTTAGTGGGGAAAGTGTTGGGACAAGAGAACCCCACCCATTCCCCCAGTCTGGAGAGTTAAGTTCCTGTGGGCCTTGGGCCGCATTTCTATTCCCTCAAACTGTGTTTATTCTCTTTTCATTGGTGAGGGAGGGTGACTGCATCCGACCTGTTCTCTATCCAGTTCCATTTGTGAGATGACCAGCCTAGGGTCAGGGTTAGGGGTCAGAGTGAGAGCAGGGTCAGATCTCCATGTTGAGTTGAGACAGAACCTAGTCTTCAGTCAAGATTAGGGCTGGGACTGGAGTTTAGGCACAGTCTATGATGGATGTAGGGGGCCAATCTGGGAGTGGACTGGGGTCAGTTTCTGGCTGGAGACAGGGTACACAGTGCCCAGCACACAGTGGGCCCTTAATAAATGCCTGATTGATTGATGGATGGGTTTGGGGGTCAGGTGGTGACCTCTGACTGTAGAATTCTTTATGCTGCCCCTCCTCCTGTTGAAACCTCAGCTGTCATATGTCCTCATTCTAGGAACGGAGAGAATTGGAGGCTGAGCTGGGCAGGCACTGGATGGACCTAGAGATGGGGGACACGAGGCCCCAGGAGGAGGAGGAGGAGGAGGAGGAAGAGGGGTCTCTGAGCTTCCTTCCTGCCCCAAAGGGCTGGGGCCAAGGCCAAGCAATCAAGGCCATATGGAGAGGCCAGCTGGGCCTGATGAAGCAGCTGCTGAGGCAGGGGGCCTGCATCAATGACAGGTGAGCAGCCCCATCAGAGCCCTACCCCAGGCACCCCAGCATGGAGGCCTTACACTCAGGCTTCCCTTTGGGTTTGCCTTTTGTGAGGGGTATGTAGCAAAACCCATCCACATGATGCACATTCAACACACAACACCACACAAAGGTGTATCGTATCCCACACGGGGTCACACAGTGGCTCTAGGCATCCAAAGGAAATCTCACTAGATGTCAAGTTCAGATCTGTTTGCCACTTATCAGCTCTGTGACCTTGGACAAGTCCCAATCTCTCTGTTCTCTCATCTACAAAATTTGGCCAGTATTAATATCCCTCCTAGCTACTATTCAAGGCTGTTACCAAGAGCCATCAATCAATTACCCAACATTTTATTAAGCACCTACTATCAAGTGAGATAATATGTGTGAGATGTCCTAGAAACACGAGCTATTAACCTCCTCCCCACTATATTATACACATAATCTTATGAATATTTGTACAGTGCATCAAAAACCTATCTACGTGTACGGGGCACATTTTTTGCCTTTGGTCCACATTGAACAATTATATCTGTTTGTGGCTAACATTAGTTTGTTCTCCCTGGGCAATTATTTCCCTTCCCTCAGGGCTCTGGGGATAGAGAGGTTAAAAATTAGCCAGACAAAACTTCCCAGTGGACAAATTTTGAATCTGTCTTATGAGGCAGAGTTGTGACTAGATCCCCAGGTGGCCTCTGGAGTCCATATCCAGTGTACCTGGTTCAGTCATGAAGTGATGAGAAACATCCCAGAGTCTGTGTCTCTCTAGGACTGAGCATAGTAGCGGGCACACAGTCAGCACTTAATAAATGCTTACAAATTGATTGAACCCACTTTTCCCTTCATCATGGCCACCCATCTGTACACATATAACTATGTGTCCACCCCACCAGGGAATGGCTTGTGACTCTGTCCCTGCCTTCAACACGCATGTTGCTTCCTAGGCTTTGGGTCTCAGAGACCCTCCCCCTCCTCAGGCCCATCTCCCATGACTCCCCAAGGTGCTTGAGCCAAACTGGATCAGCCTACATTCTCTGAACATATTTTGTTGTAGAGGGGAGCCCTGTACCAACAAAAGATATAGATGGTTTCTGAGACCGAGAAGGAAGGAAGGAAGGAAGGAAGGAAGAAAGAAAGAAAGAAAGAAAGAAAGAAAGAAAGAAAG